GCAGGGGTTCTGATTCCGTTCTGTTGATTTTGACAATTTGCCTCCGGTTGTTAAGGTAGGACTTTAACCAGTCTACAGAAACTATACCGATAGCTTGAAGTTTCTTACATAATATGTTGTGGCTGACAGTACCGAAGGCCTTTGGCAGGTCTAAGGTTATCACACCTATGAGGTTTCCCATTGACATTTCAGTTCTCTTGTAATCCATCAGATTAATTAGTGAGGTGTCGGTTGAGTAAGATCTTCTAAAACTTGATTGATAGCTATGGAGAATGTTATTGTCATTAAAGTACTTAACTATTTGACAATACACCGCCTTCTCTAGATTTTTGGATATTACACTGAGTATACTAACAGGCCAATAGTTACTTACTATTTTTCTTGAAGATAGGAGTAACTCTAGCCTCCTTGAACCCCTCCGGTACGGTATTAGTGGTAATGGATAAATTTATTATGTGAGCAATAGGGATTGACAATTCAGAAGCACCATCTTTTAGGAACTTAGACTGGATGTTATCAGGGCTGGTGTTCTTACTTCGGTTTAACCTGCTTAGTTCTTTTTGAATAAAGTCATGAGATACACTTACTAGTTGACAACTATTTGGGGTTACCCCTTTATTGGTATAGTATGTTTCAAACTTATCTGAGTCTGTGTTAAAGGTATTTGATGCAGCTGGTAGTTTACTTACTAGTGTTGATGCGACAGATGCGTGGTAGGAATTAAAACAATTTGCCACCTTAGTTGTTTCGTGGCATACCTCGTTATCGATAGTGAGTACTATGTTAGACGTACATGTATCTACTGGTTTATGGCTATACCCCAACTGTTTTAGTTGTTGCCAGAGCTTTCTGGGGGTTATGCTTATACTCTTCAGTTTTTGAGCAACAGTGCTTTGCCTTTGCTCCTTTTATAAGTCTTTGTACTCTGTTCCTCACCCTTTGGAATTCATTTAGTGTTGCAATATCCTGTCTGTTTTAAAGCGTTTTAGCAACTGATCTCTGAATTTCATATTATCTAATATCTCAGTAGTCATCCAGTGAGAGAGAAGAATTTAAAACAAAATGAGGTAGACTCAAGAAAATAAAGCAAAAAATACACACACGAAAAGAGGAGGAATACTGACGAGAAAGAAGGAATGGAAATACCAAGACCACAGAAAAATATTCGGTTGGTTCACTATGTATGATTTCACAGACAATTATACAGTTTTAAAGAAAGAATGAACTTTATTTTAAAAACCTACACATAATTATTATTATAATTATTATTATTATTATTATTATTATTATTATTATTATTATTATTATTATATTATTATTATTATTATTATTATTATTATTGTTATTATTATTATTATTACATTCATGGGGGAGCGTTTAAGCCGTAGGGGTCATACAGCGCCTGGGGAGCGACAGGCATTCAGACGTAAATCAAGGAATTGGATCACAGGTCCAGTTCCTTATATCAAGAGTCCCTCATCGTTTTCATGGAACTTCTCATGAGGGGACGTGATATCACAGACAAGGGCATAAATTTATGCAATTGTTTGAGGGTACAATGAGAAAGAAGAGCAAGTCACAATAGCCCGGCTACGACAGTTCACAAAAAATGTATATGTTAATTCTACATTACAGAAATTTAATCACGGAAAACCAATTAATGTTAAACGATGGCTCATTTCCATTGATGTCCTTACAATGGTGGCAATAATGTGCAAAGGATAGAAGGAGAGAGAAAGAAGAAAAAAGAATTAAGAAACGGTAGTGAGGAAGAAAGAAAAAAAGGACAGTGAACGAGAGAGTGTAAATATTAAAGACGGGATCTGAATAGCATGTGGGGTAGGGGAAGTGTGTCACAGTCTTTGAGGTAGTCACTTCGTGTGGACGTGTAGGAACGCATTGAGCGCTGCAGGTGAGTCCGCCTCTGAGTTCTATCATTACGTTCATAAGGACCGCTAAAATCGTGGGGGTTATATAGTGCCTTGGTAATAGGAGGCAATCTATCTCGATCCAAGCAGATCATCACTTTTGCCAAGGGATCCAGCTCTCAAGCAGAGGCTAAGTTGCTGGTCTCTGAGGACCAGTGTTTCCCGACATTTTTGTCTTCGTCTCACTCACACTGTCCTCTGGGACCAACTATAATGATACCTACTTAGCACCCAAGCAAATAACAAAAAAAGGCACAATACCGTGACTGGAACGATACACAAATAACCCGCACATAAAAGAGTGACTTTGTCAATGGTCCAAGTCGGACCGAAACGTCGTCGTAAGCTTCTCTCTTTTATGTGCGGGTTATTTGTGTATCACCCAAGGAAATCGCCGTTGACTTACAGGATAATATTACAGAAAGCATTTAGTAAATAATCGCTCTGTATTTTTCATCTTTTATAGGGATTAGCAACCCAAGATTTGAGAACCCATGTAGGATCTGTTCTTCTAAGTCGTCAGACTTTCATGAACACCACTAGAGTGTACTTTTGATCACTCATTTAATATCATGTTAATTTCCCCACAACACAACATGGGTCATCAAATGGTAGTGCAGTGTTTTTCTTCCCGTCTCTGAACTTCAGCTTCCCGCTCCTTCAGCCTACAGGATTCTCAGAACCTTGCTTCGAATAAGAATTTCCTTGTTGAATGAAGAGCTCTTGATTCAAGTAATTGGATCTACCCCACTTTTTTGGATGAAATTTGATATCCTCGCATTTCCCAGGCGCTGTATATTCCCTACGGATTTACCGCTTCCCAGTAAATATATTGATAAAAAAATATTTCGTCTAATTCACTGCTATTTTCATCCCATTGCTATTATCACACTAATCTTTCACTCTTTCATTCGTTCACACTGTCAATGTCCGCACTTTCTGTTTAATTTTTCCTCTTCAAGGCCTTGATGCCGTTCAAGAGCTCTTGATTAAATTAAATGGAGCTACCTTCTCCTTTCTTGGATCAAGTCTGATTATTTTCCATTCCTCTGACGTTGCACGACCCTCTTGGGCTTAGCGCTTCCCCAAGCACGAAACAGAGTCTCTAATTTTCCTCTTTCACTCTAGTTTGTTCCATTCACGGCCTTTACCTGTGACTGTTTTGACGTCATTCTGTTATTTTCCTTTTCATAAATATATACACTTCCATTTAATTATCCACTAATTACGATCTCAAACTGTGGAACTATTAAGTACTTCATGTTTGTGAATCTGGAATCTAATCTTTTTGGCATATAATGGTCCCACATTCACACTTATACAAACATTACCCCGCACAGGCATAAGAGTTACCAGTTTTTTTAGCATGAATACATAGATTTTTTTTTGATTGCAGGAAAAGCTATGAATCATCTAGGACGAGTAGTAGCAATGGCTGTTGTGGTGCTATTTATCGTAATAGATGCCGACAACCTGATAAAGTATTCCCAAGTGAGTCTACCATTCTCAGGCACTCAGGGGTTTCAGAAGCATCTGAGTCAGTATACAGGAACGTTACCAACCCTGTCTCAGTCTTCTGATATTACCTGCTAATTCTTATACTTTTTCATGCTTCTGCACCACTCATTAGGCAGAGTTCCATTGTTCATACATACCTTGAGCAAATGCACAAATAATAATAATAATAAGTATAATAATTATAAATAATAATAATAATAATAATAATAATAATAACAATTAATAATAATAATAATTAATAATAATAATAATAATAACAATTAATAATAATAATAATAATAATAATAATAATAATAATAATAATAATAATAATAATAATAATAATAATAATAATAATAATAATAATAATAATAATAATACACACTTCCCATCTCTGCAGGTAGTTCCAAGTTTCCCGGCGGGTATAGCATCATGTCTACTCAGATCCTTTGGAAACCAGGTGTTCAGCACCGTGCAGTGTGCTGCTGCCTGCAGCCTCACACCCTACTGCACTCTCTACTGCCTCAAAGGTTAACCTACAACTGAAAGTACTCTATTAACAGGAAATGATTGTGTGGTATCTTACATGTATTGCACGACTGCAAGAACTCTTAGGGTGAAATAAGATGATTGTGAGGTATATTATGGGCAATTTTCTGTGTCATGTAGTTCTGATGTGTTGGTGTGTATTTGGAAGAGCACCTTTGAAGGGGGGGTGCCTTGATGCCGTTGAAGGCCTCTTCATCACAGGAATTGGAGCTGCTCTTCCATTCCCCCGATCGTAGATTGCCTCCCATTCCTCAGGGGTTGTATGATCCCATGGGTTTAGAGCTTCCCCAGAATTTGATGATAATATTAATTACCTAAGGAACGAGAGCATGGTGATTGTTGGGGGTGTCTGAAGGTGGATTGCGTTGTGTTTTCAACACACCGGCCGCATCCCACCGACTCACCGAAAGTTTTTTATATTTAGTATTTTTTACAGGGAAGATATTAATTATTATTGTTATTATTATTATTATTATTATTATTATTATTATTATTATTACTACTACTACTACTACTACTACTACTACTACTACTACTACTACTACTACTACTATTACTACTACTACTACTACTACTACTACTACTACTACTACTACTACCACTACTACTACTATATTATTATTATTATTATTATTATTATTATTAAATTACACTGGTCAACACTCATTTTCTGATCAATGATATTACACCGATTTAAGGGTAAGCGTGGTGCTGCTTCCGAATATATTATAGGTTTTGCTTGATTGTCTCTAGTTTTTGATAAATTTGGTATTCCGTTGAAAAACATAAAAGATGTGAAAAATATATTGATTAGGCGGGGCTAACTTACAAATCGTAATGAAATTACTTTTTTAGATCAAGCAAAAAGTTTGCTATCTTCAGAAAAACATAAATAGACATCTTGTGCTCATGATGGCAAAGCTTCTGCAACACCATTTTCATGTTTTCGTTTTCTTTGTCGAGTGAGCAATTGGAAGAGATACATATTGGTTACCATTGTGCAATAAGACACATTTCAAGTTTCTAATGAAGCTGTCTATAAAAGCCCACCAATCTCCTGGTCGATATTCAAGTCTCTTTCGAAGGAGTCCAGGTATGTTATTACGGTATATAAGGTCTCCATCTTGACTGAAGTAAGGAAGGAGTTCAACCTCTCTTGTTCGATTAGCTGTTATTTTAATTTCTTGTTGAAGACAGTTCTTTTCTTTTAGTCTAGATGCTAAAAGTTCAGATGCTTGCTTTGACAGACTGAGGTCACATATCAAATCATTGAGTTTTACTTGGAAGAACTGCTAGGGTGTTAAAATACTTACTTTATATTCACTTCCACTGTTATTACCTGTGTTACATCCTAAACTATGAGTTTCTTCAACATCTGTCAACAGAAGGTCAGGTAGTGTTGCAATCACTGGTATGGGAACATCTTCGCCGTGTGGCACAGGTCTCCTTACAGATCAGGATATTCCCACTTGATATTCATGTATCGACTGAAATCCCTCACATTCACCATACAGAAATAATCGTCGTGGTGGGTTTCCGGCTCTCCCCGCACCATAAGCACACAGAACTTCTTTGCTATTTCTCCATTGTCGTAAGCATTCTATACAGATTTTGCAAACCATACGGGGAACCCAAGACTTGTTCTCCAAGTGCCATTCCAGAATAAGGAAGATAAGCTTGTTTTACAAAATCTGTGGTAAATTTTTTCATTGCTTTTGCAAAGAATATTCGCCACAAATGTAGCAAAATGCATTGAGATTGATTAATCAGGCTCTTCGTGAAGGACTCGTGTTTCTCTGGAAAAATAACAAAATAAAGGTTACAATATTGTAACTTGGTCGCTGTTGATGCAACTCTTTTTGTTAAATATTAAATCATATAAAAATAAAATTTTAACAACATATAAATATACACGAGTTATGGCCAAGTTCCCTGTTAACTGAGGGTACGTATGCATATTTCACAGACTAGAGCCAATTTGAAAAACCTACTGACATTTTCGAATTCAGCAACCCCAAAATGCCCTAATTACGTTCAAATATCTTTGGCAACAAAAGTTTTATTGTTGTTGTTGACCAGTGTTATTGAATCGCTTAACCCATGTGGGGTCATTCAGCGCAGGGATTAGTGAAGGCTCGATCCTCCTTCAGCCAATCGTGGCCCAGTCTCTGACCCTACTGAACTGCAATTCAATCTAGTAAAATTCTTGATTCTCTTTTTCTCTCCCTTAAGAAAATCAATGCTCCTTGTTCCGTGCCAAGGTGACGGAGCAGTGGGCAGGGGTGACGGGAACAACCTTCATCTTCGACCAATGTTTCTCCACCTTCCCTTTCTCTGGTGACGTGGGACGTTACGCGATCACCGCCTCCTCCTCTGTGTACAAGACATTCACATCCAACACAGCTCTCAATGCATCCTTCTACTGCTTCAACGAACCTGCTTGCTACGAGAGCATCATTGAAAACGGCCCCTGGTGGAGGGCTGACTTTGGTCGGCCGCTGAGCATCTCCGCCGTTATAATAAACTATGTGTACCTTATCGACTCCAACGTCGAATTCCTTCTGGGCAACGATTCGAACGTCGGTAACAACCCCGTCTTTGTGACTCAGTATACGACAACTCCTTACGGCGGTCTGGTTCTGATGCCCACGCAGGCCATAGTAGGCAGATACTTCTTCGTCACCGAACCAGCCTACTCCGACATAGGGATATGTGACGTTTGGATCTTATCCGATTAAGATATTGTGTGCGATATCTAATTCGTGGTTGAAAGACACTTGTTGTAGAACATATACTGTCAGTATATTTTTATTTTAGCTGACATATCGGTCTGAGAAATACCTATATCTACTCATTAATATGATTAGATATACCTTTGATGATATTTTTGATGAGTTCCCAGAGGTTTTCTACTCCCAGAGCCCGGTCGTGAGCCAGACCCGTCTGGCTTTCGTCTGGTCAACCAGGGTGTTTCTGCTCCAAGTACGTCTATAATACCTGTGGGCAAAAACCTAACGACCAACACACAACACTCCTAATTCTGTATCTTTGAAATCTTAACAGAGTGAATAAACAGACAATCTTGGGTGACTGGTTGTTAGTGTTGCTTTCCTGATAAATACTTGTATCAGGTTCCAATTAAATATGTGTTCAATACTTTGTTTTAATTGCATTTGTCCTCTAGAGTGAATGTATGGTGCAGATTACTATTACTGTAAATTCATGGGGAAGCGTTATTCCTTTAAGAGTCATGAAGCACCTGGGCGATAGTAGGTAATTAGATTTGATCAGGGAAGTGGAGGGTCGCTTCAGTGATGCCAGTGAAGTTCACTGGCATCAGAGCACCCTCCCTTCTATCCATTGAGGAGGATATACTGAACAGAGCCATTCATCTTGTAAGTGAACATACGGCAATATAGCCAGTACAAATACGGCAATAAAGACAGCAAAAAATATTTCAATAAAGACAGTATATGATGCTGCGATATAGTACAAAATACCACAATAGAGACAGTTGAAGATACTGCAATAAAGACAGTATAAAAATAATGCAATGAAGACGGTATAAAATACTGCAGTAAAGACAGTACAAAATACCGCAGTGAATTATTATTATTATTATAATCAAGGGGGAAGCGCTAAACCCGGAGGATTATACAGCGCCTGGGGGGGGAAATGTGGAAGGCATTCAGGCTTAATTCGGGGAACTGGAGCACAGATCCAATTCCCTAAATCAAGAGCCCCTCACCAACATCAAGGAACCTTCCTTGAGGGAAACTGCAGTGAAGATATGAAATACTGCAGTAAAAGCAGTATAAGATACTGCACTAAAGACATTGGATATCTCGTTGGAAACTGCAATACTTTGTAGCAGCAACAAGTCCTGGATATTTTCTTCATAAAACTATAAATCACAGTAATACTTTGATGGATGTAAGTGGTAATAATTATTATTATTATATACTCTTGGGGAAGCGCTAGATCTTTAGGGGCCATACAGCTCTTGGGGAATGGACAGTAATCAGATTTGATCCAAGGAAACTGAGATTAGTCACAATTCTTTGGATCAAAGATAGGGATGGGGAAGAAGGGCCGGTAAGCCAGTGGAAAGCCTCGGTCAGATGACCAAACTCATCAGCTGTGGATCATCATAAGACTAAAACCAGCGTCAGGAAGCACTTGCCCTGTTTCCTGATAAACCTGACCTAACCTAACCTCAAGGCGACCTTGTTCTGCTCGACGGTGTCACAAGAAGTGTTTACTCTGCACCCGCGTTTTTTTCTTCTGCGTTGTGGGCAGTAGGCCGTGGAATCCAGGGCCGGAGAATGTTTATCGTCCTCTCTGCACACCTCTACTGAATTTCCTCTCCTGGAGTTGAGATACCAACCTGCTCTCTGTCTCTCTCTCTCTCTCTGTTTGTCTCTCTCTCTCTTTCTTTATATATATATATATATATATATATATATATATATATATATATATATATATATATATATATATATATATATATATATATATAGATAACAAATTCTGGATGCTACTCTCTCTGTTCGTGCCTTCCCACCTTTCTTACAGTAAAAATGTATTTCGTCTAACAAAACAAATCTCTAAAGCTGTACAGATTTACTAGTTCTAAACGTATCTCTCATGGATTTCATTCTATAGATTTTTAATTTGTATTTTCTGGATAATTTGCTGGAATGTTTCACTAAACCGTAACTTGTTTCCTGTTTACAGTTCTAACTATACTAATTCACCAGTTTTCCCATTCCCTGTGATCTTAACATAAAATAATAATCATATAAACTTTACTAATATTTTGTGATTGTTTTGCTTTATTACATATCTTTCTACAGCCTGTAATATATTGTGATTGTTGTATCAGAAGTTTAGGATTAATGAGCAAATTATCCTCATAAACACTGTCTCGAATGTTACATATTAATGTTTAAGGTTTATTACCGGACTTTCTGAGTCTTCAGCCGGAGGAGTTTACATGAGCTTTTCTTATGTATTTTAATGACTAAGCATGTCGGGTTTTAGCGTTCATTATCGGGAAAGTGAATCGGGACTAAGACATGTTTAATGAAGTTGACAGTGAGTCTGAGAATATATTCCAGGGATCATTAGACATTGAGGAACCATCAAAACTAGAACCGATACTCTCTCAAGAACCATCAGACGTTTAAGGAACTCTCCCAGGGACAACCAGGCAATGAAGAAGTTGAGTACGAACCCCATCTTTGAACCAGTGAAAACTTCAGTCTGACTGTTTATTATTAAATTAAAATCACGGGTAAGTACTAAGTCTGTAGGAGTCATACTTTGGGATATGTGATGCTGTCAAATTTGATTTAAGGAAGAGGTAGGGTAACTCAAATTCCTTGTATCAAGAACCCTTTACCAGCATCAAGGCAACCCCCAAAAAGGCTCCTGAAAATTAAAAACCATGTGGAGGTATCGTGAAAGAAGAAAAGAGTGGGAGTAAAAGAATGAAGCATAATAGAGTCGTCTATGACGACATGAAGGCATTCTTTGCTGATATACAGTTCAATACGAAGCTAAATTGGATGTCAGCACCTGCCATGATAAAACACTTCAGGCGAATATGTGTTTGGAGGCCACCAAGAAATTCATCCCTCTCCAAAAGATGATATCTGGTATATCATTTAAAGTGTTCGGAAATCATCGCCTCCACGGTTCGGTATCATACTAGCTCTCCTAAATCGGAAAGGGAATACAACAGAAATACGAACTATTAAGAAACACACGTGTGAAAAAAAGATAAACATGTTCTGAACGTCAGTCGAAGCTCGAAAAATTTTCCTGTCAACTTTTTCACAAGACAAAAAAAGAAAAGAGCAGAATTCTACTAGAGAGTAAAAGTTTTAACAGATTTCAATTTCACGCTCAGACAGCACAAGGGTATAGTTTGTAGAAAGATCTTAGTTCTAAGGTGCAATTCCAGGGACTTTACAAAAGGGAACTATAACTTATCTGCACAAACGAAGCAGCAGAACTCTGGTAAAAAATTAGAAACTTATAACATTAACATCACGAATCATAAAAGGATGTGAAAATTTGGTGAGAAGCCAAAATATAAATTTTACGGGAAAGAATGACCCCACGCAGTCCAAATATACATAGATTTAGAAAGGAAGATTATGCATGTCACAAGTACTAAATCATTAAGGCAAATTTGTGGAGGTTTCGGAAGAAAATCAAAACACAGAATTCACGAATGCATTTGACAAATGCGGTTATTGAGTGACAGTCCATAAAATTAGGTCAGGAGGTATAACAGGAAAAGTAGGAAGACCGTTATTAAATTTTTAACGAAGACTGATATTAAATATTCTAACACAAGGAAAACAAAGAGTAATAGTAAATAATGCAGAATCTAATCTTTACGACAGGCACTTGAAGACACACTCCCGGCACCTTCACTATTTCTCATCCTCGTATCAGACACAGATGAAAACACTAACCACAGCTTGGTATCATCTTTTGCGAGAGATACTACGATAAGTATCTCGGAAGAAGACAAGGAAAATTTACATACAGATATCAACGAAGCCTTCCAGTGGGCAGAATAAAATACATTATCTTCAATGGTGACAAATTTCTACTGCTCAGATATGGAAAGAATGAAGAACTCATGAGAAGCACCGGATTTATAGCACAGGAAGACAGTCTTCTATTCCATGGTGGGCAGTCCCTGTCACCACTCACTACAAGTGGCGAATTGGCTATGAAAGTGTATCGAATTAGAGTTTATTCTATATTTTTAATATTCAACTGCGATTACGCAACCAGTATAATAATATCAGATGACCTATCATTTAGAAAACACACTAAGGCAAATGCTGTGATGGCCAGTAAAATAACACAGGGGTTAATTGGAACCTTAAAACAAAAGAAACAATGCCAATAATGACATTATTCAAATCATTTGTGATTTCTCGCTTAGAATATTGTTTGGTGTTGACTAATCCGTTCAAAGCAGGAAAAATATCCGAACTGGAAAAAGTACAGAGCTCGTTAACTGCCCGTTTTAATCTAATGAGGTGCTAGAATGCACTCGTACCTGGATGTACTCTCTGGAGCGAGAAAAAAGAGATACTCGCATATCTGATATTATATACATAGAAGATATTTGATTGCCTAGTCCAAAATCTATAGACTAACATTCACTGTGGCCCAAGACTATTAGAAATATTGCCGTATCAAATATAGAAATCTTCGAGAGGAAACTAAATCTTTAGCTCCAACAAGTTCCAGATCAAACAGGCTGTGAGGTACACGGGCCAACGGGCAGAAGAAGCAATCAATAGCAAAGCCTTTCCCCAGGCCGAGTTTCGTGAGTAGGTTGAAGATTAAGACACGTGTAACAGTTGGGTATCTTTATTGTTGAAACGTTTCGCCTACACAGTAGGCTTCTTCAGTGCTACGTCTCAACAATACAGATATCCAACTTGTCGGTATTTTATGCCATTTTCAACATGCATGGGTAGGTAAACTCTCGAAATGTGTCACAAATATACCACAGGCATAATAACAATGAGGGACGTAGAGCTGTTGAAAAATAACATTGCTGCCAGAACAAGGAACGGGCCGCAAATTATTAAACAGTCACTTTAGAAGAATAATGTCAGTCAAGGAGTGAATTATATTTAAAATTTAAATAGATATCTGCTCACGAAGAAGAAAAAATGACAGGGAAGAATGCGAGGAACACAATATAAAATTTAAAAAGATTCTTTCGAGTGAACAAGAACACCTGCGGAAATTTAAGCGGGAGTCCAACTTCAAGGGATACTGGAGGCACATAGT